GCAGGCTCGACATCAACATGTGACACTGCGGGAGGAGCGGGCACCTCACCCTCCACAGTGCGTGGCCAGAACAGTCATCCAGCCCACACAGCACTTTCTGTTCCACAACCAGCCCAAACTGCCTTTGCAATGCATTGGAAAAGCCACCCTTCCTCCAGCCAGTAGCTGCTATCTGCTGCAACACAGTTGTCAGAAACACGTAGATCTACAAGGCCTGTTTGTGAAGAGAGCTCCAGGATTTGATGCCCTGAGTGGTGGGTGGACCAGGGAACATGACACCCCTTCACAGTTGTGGGACCTCAGTGTCAGAAGCACCAAATGATGTGTCTCACATTGCACTACCTGAAATGAGTTAGCTTTAGTTCCGGGGGCTAAAAATGGAAGTGAGAAAGGAAAAACCAACACTTAACACCACAGCCAGCTGATAATGGCCCGAATGTTCAGGAGGAATGACAATGTTTTAAGAGAAGAGCCATCTAAAATGTACTAAGAACAAGCAACCCTTGCTTATGAAAAAGTGGTTAATAAAAGTGTGAACTGGCAAAAGGAAAAGATGATTGTAGCTAAATCTCCAATGTGATGCATACCTATTGGGTGCTGTTACATCTGGGAGTATTAGAAACAGACAGAATTAGTCTTCCACAGATCAGTGTTAGGAGGTTTGTCAATAAAATGTCTCTCACCCAAGATTGTCAGGGACTAAAGTCATAATGTCTAACATCACTAATTGTCAGAAAAACACAAATGCCACCATACACCTTACGGAGTGGCTAACATTTAGAGCACTTACCACACTAAATGTTGGTGAAAATCTGGTGGGAACATAAAAGAGTACATCTCTTTTGCACAAGGCTGACCATTTTTAGTAAAGTCCAGCACATAGTTACCATGTGACCTGGCAATTTGATTCTTGACTATTTGCACAAGTGAAATGAAAAAGATGTCTTCAGAAAGTCTTGCACAGAAATATTCAAAACAAATTTATTCAAAATAGCAAAAGATGAAAACCAAAGACATACCATGCCTATATGTATCCTTAGAAGGGTTTTGTTTTGTTTTGTTTGTTTGTTGCTAAAGTCTTCAAGTTTTTCTTCCCCCTAACACAGGCAGATACACAGGAGTACCTGCTTTTCCTTTTAGATTTTCACCTGACTTTTAGGGTCACATGTATGTGAGCTGAATATGCTTTTCTTAGAGCCATTGGAATTTGCAAGAAGAGTATGTCTACTGGCATTAAAATGAAAGTATTGCCCAAAATGTCAATAGATATTTTCCAGGAAAGTTCAAAACTTATTTTTAATACACACACTCACATGCACACACACACACACCCATGCCCATACACACAAACACACAGATTTTCACACAAATAATTATCTATACTGAAGCCTTATTATTGGGTTCACATATTTAGGTTAAAAAACTGAAAACAACCCTAAAACAAGCAAGTGTGTCCACAGTTTTTTATGTGTCTACACAGTTCAATATTATTCAACAATAAAAAGAAAGCCACTACTGATATACACATGAATGTGGGTGGGTCTCTAAAACAAGGCTGAGGGAAAGAAGCCGTGAAGTCTTTTCTACATGTATGCATTGGTTGGTTGGTTGGTTGGTTGGTTGGTTGGTTGGTTGGTTGGTGCTGACAGGAAGCATGTTGTTCCGGATCCAAGACAGACCTAATGATTCACAGAGCATCTTGTGTCAGCTCCCCCATGCAGCCCCTCCCCATGGGGCAATGCAAGAAGAGCAGTGAACACCTATGCATGTGGTTTGGTTTGTGCTACAGGAAGCAGCTCCAAATCATAAATCTTGAAGCTTATGTGGGTGGCTGGTACAGCTGCCTGACTCCCCTCTGGAGGAAACAGAGAAACCTGTCTTTTTTTGACATAAACAGATCCTCTCGGGTGGGAAGGAGAAGCCTTCAGGTCCATTGCCCTTTGGAATGTAAGCTAATGGCTGCACAGCAGATGAACCATACTGTCTCTGGAATAACTCCCCATCTCTAACTTCTTAGACATGGTTACCATCAATCATCCTTCAGCCCAGGTGGCCAGGACTTTTTGCTCAAAAGCCCAGATCACACAAAAACTTGAAAATATTCATGGAGTGTTGTTTTTTTGACAGAAATCAGACATAAAAAACTCCATATGGTATAATTTTGTGTTAGGAAATACAAAACATCGAAGTGAATGTGTAGTGATAGAATGCAATCAGCAGCTTTCTGGGGCTGGGACAAGTTGGGTGATTGACGGCAAAACGAAAATTTCTGAGATGATGGTATGCTCTATGTCTTAATTTTGGTCGTAGTTTCACCACTGTCATATTTGTCAAGGCTTGTCAAACTGAACACTTAAAAGTAGAGCATTTACAGTCACGCTGGAATCCTCAGCAACATTGTTGATAAGCCCAGCTTGGATAGATTCCTTTGAGCTGTTTACATGGAGACTGGTGGGCAGCTTCCAGCCACACTGGTCAATGCTCCTACTTGTATATCCCTCTTTTCTTTCTTCGACTTACATACAAATAGTCAAGTACTGCATAATAATATTTTAGTCCATTATGGACTATATTATAGTGGCCCCAGAAGATGATAATACTGAATTTTTATGGTACTCTTTCCATGTTTAGATAAACAAATGCTTCCCATTGTGTTACAATTGCCTAGAATGTTCAGTATAGTCACATGCTGTACAGGTTCGTGGCCTAGGAGCAATAGGCTATACCATATAGCCCAGGTGTGTTTAGGCTTTATCTAGGCTTTACCATCTAGGTTTGTATAAGTATACCCTGCCATGTTTGCACAATAACAAAATGGCTTAGTGACACATTTCCCAGAATGCACATCAGTTTGTTAAGAGATGTGTGACTGTGTATGACTTGTGTGCTCGGTTTCACGATATGCACGATATGTAAGTCAAATGTTCCTATAAAGTGAGGGTACCAAAAACTGGAGCCTCTCATTTTCCATTTCTTATAGCATATCACATGCTCTTTGAAATGATAATAATAATAATAATAATAGAATCTCATGTTTGAACACACTGCCGCTGTAGGATGGCTCCCCACTCTCAATCACTATATTAACAACATACGAATGAGTCCAGTTTAGGGAGTTAAGGCTCTGCATCATGGTGTGACATAGCTAAGGCTTCATTGAGCTCTTCCTTTACGTTGGTGTGTAGAATACTCAGAAGTAATACAGCTTCTGTTTTCCTTTTTTTCTTTTTGCCATATGATATTAAAATTGATAGGAAAAGTGCAGCTTCTCTAAAATTGCAACATGGAGTTACAGAGGAATGTTTAGCGCCTTTTTTTTTTTTTTTTTTTTTTTTTTGTCTTTCCAATAGCCACTGTTGCTAAAGAATGGAAATTAAGTCATATCCTTTAGCAACAGAGTGATACAACTGAGCAAAATATTTTTAAAATAAATGTTTTTCTTACATTATAAAGATGACATGTTGTTGTTTGGGAACATTTAGAAGATACAGAAAAAGTAGAAGGGGAAAATATCAGACTACACTCAAACTCTTGAAAATTGGTTTCTGCCAAAAGGCCCATAATTCTTTTAAATGCCTTTTCCTCACCCCAGTGATTGCTTCATTTCTCTGCTGTTTAGACTCCTCTATCTCATGAGCCCAGAAAAACTCACTGCTCTTTGTGTTAGAAATCAACATGATTTAGAACTGTTGCATTAGAATCTGGTTATCCCATATTCCATGGAAATGACACATATTATAGGTTGAATCCACCTGGATAATTTCCTGTAATTCCTTAGTCTGGAAACATCTTGTTAACCCCAGCCACCTCCCACTCATTTTCACACCCATCATCACAAGCTTTTCTTGTTAACAGAATTTCTAAGTTGCACCCACCTGTCCACACACATGCACAGAATTCCTTTTCCTAAAATGGCCCTATTTTAAGGAATCTAAAATATTCCTCAAAAAAATCATGAGAAAAATAAATTCCTTCTTCTACAATGGAAATAGAGGAGAATCAAATATATACAAATCTTGTCTTTGTGGATTTACAGTAGGGAATGTAAGGCACAAGCACAAAAGCACTGAGCTGAGGCAGAAAGTAATGGTTAGCTTATAGAGTAAGCAGAAAAAACGATTCTGAAAACACTATACATGTACACTACAACTGAACGATTAAGTAAAGGAATGGCAGGTGGTAAGAGCCAGGTTTCTCACTGTCGGAGAGGCAACAAGCAAGAGAAGAGGCTCTAATGACCCATATGGTAATGGATTAGACTTGGAAACATCACTGTGAATTCATGTTTATCTTGATATAGAAGTAGGCACACATAGAAATGTGTACACACACAGGTTGGTATGCATATGTATTTTCTTGCTCTGTCAGGTGAAAGTGCCTGCAAGCAACTATACCCCAGCCCCAGCAAGCACAGACATCCTGCACCCAGATCTAACATCATTCTCTGATGAAAGGAGCCAGAGGTTCTCAGAAAAATTGCTGATTCTAGGACTGGAACAGAAAATAGACAAGATGATCCTGAAGCATCTTACTGTGCCAAAAAGTGAGGAAGTGCTGAAAATAAAACCCAAAACAAACAAACATGATGGGGGCATGTCAAAGGAACACAGAAACCAACTGGAAAAGGTCTCAGTGGCCAAAACTGAAACAATTTGAAAAACAAAATACAGTAACATTGGATGATAATTCAAAATATGAAATAAATAAACATGAGTCCATACTGATCAAAATAAAACACTGAATAAATAAATAAATGGGGGTGAAGAGACAAATGTCCTAGGCGGGAGCATTCCAAATAATTTATGTAGAAACTCTGGCCTCTAGAAGATGGAGTAAACTCCTCACCCCTTAAGTGTTGATTGTTCATAGTGTCTTCCATCTAAAGAGTACAGTATGAAAAGAAAAAGAGTAACTTGACAGTGGAGAAACCTCACCAACATAACCTCAACCAGAGATCAGGGTCAACAGCAACAGGGCGAAGTCATGCTGACTGTGCTTACCTTTGACAGGACGTGATGAAAATGGTCCACTATCTCTGTGGCCTTCCTCCCAAGAACCCATAACTCCAGTCTGTTGATGAGAAAGACGTTAGACAAATAACAGTTAGGAGACATTACACAAAACACCTAAGAAGTACTCCTCAAACTGTCAAGATCATCAAAAGCAACAAAATTCTGAGAAACTGTCACAGCCCAGAGGAGCTGGAGGAGATACAATGACTAAATGCCATGCAATATCCACAATGGGATCTTGGATCAGAAAAAGAAAATAAGGTAAAAATTAAGGAAATCTGAATAAAGTACAGACTTTAGTTAATAATAGTGTTGCAATGTTGATTCATTAATTGTGACAATGTACCATACTAATATAAGGTGTTAAGCAGGTATATGGGAACTCGCTGTACTATCTTTGCAATTTTTCTATAAAATAGAATGAACCTAATGCCTATCAATCAATGATTGGATAAAGAAACTGTGATATATACATATACATATAATTTTCTTTGTGTGTGTGTGTGTGTAGTATTTTCTTTGTGTGTGTAGTATTCCACACACACAATGAAATACTATGCAGCCATAAAAAGGAATGAATTAACAGCATTTGCAGTGACCTGGATGAGATTGGAGACTATTATTCTACATGAAGTAACTCAGGAATGGAAAACCAAACATTGTACGTTATCACTGATATCTGGGAGCTAAGCTGTGAGGACACAAAGGCATAAGAATAAAACAATGGACTTTGGGGATTTGGAGGGGAAGAGTAGGAGGAGTGTGAGGGATAAAAGACTACAAATGTGGTGCAGTGTATACTGCTCGTGTGATGGGTGCACCAAAATCTCACAAACCACCACTAAGTAACTTATTCATATAACCAAATACCACCTGTACCCCAATAACTTATGGAAATTTTTTTAAAATTATAAATTAAAATTAGAAATCATAAAATTTACAATTATAAATTAAAATTATATAAATTAAATTAATATAAATTATAACATGATTGTTACAAAGAAACAAATTTTTCTATAAAATGAAATTATTCTAAAATGGAAAGTCTATTTAAAAACAAGTAAATAGAAAGAAAGATGGAGATTCAGAGGGAAGAGAAGTGAAGAAGCATTTTTATGTCTATCGATATGCATTTGATCTTCATGGCAAGAGTGCTGTTCCTATTTTAACTATGAAAAAACAGTAAAATTCAGCTACTTATCCAGTGTCACAGAGCAAATTCCAGTTGATATAAATATTTGGATGTTTATTCTGTACTGTTTGGTATACTTTTCTATATCTGGATTTCCTTACCAATAAAAGCACTCACTGCTGACTTAAAAGAATGACAGCAGAAAAATTATGGGAGGAATGAAAGATATCAAATCTCCATTCAGCAATACATTCCTATAACTTGCCTGGTACTTGAGAGCTTTCAAGATGCTTGCATCAAAAGAAACTATCAACAGAGTAAACAGGCAACCTACTAAATGGAAGAAAACTTTTGCAGATTACGCATCCAACAAATATCTAATATCCAGAATCCATAACAAACTTTAACAAGTCAACACACACACACAAAAAAAACCTCATTATAAAATGGGCAAAGGACATGAACAAACACTTCTCAAAAGAACACGTACACTCAGCCAACAAGCAGATGAAAAAATACTCAATTAATCATTAGAGAAATGCAAATTAAAAACCACAATGAGATACCATCTCACACCAGTCAGAATGACTACTATTAAAAATTCAAAGAACAACAGATTCTGGTAAGGTTGCAGAGAACAGGGCTCACTTGTACACTGCTAGTGGGAAAGTAAATAGTTCAGCCACTGTGGAAAGCAGTTTGGAGATTTCTCAATGAACTTGAGACAGAAATACCCTTCAGCCTAGCCAACCCATTATAGGGTATATACCCAAAGGGATACAGATCATTCCACTGAGAAGACCTATGCATGCATATGTTGATCACAGCACTATTTACAATTGCAAAGACATGGAATCAACCTAGATGCCCATCAGTAGTGTGAATAAAGAAAATAAGGTACATATATACCATGGAATACTACACAGCTATAAAATAACAAAACTATATTCTTTCAGGGTAATGGCTGCAAGTCTAAGCAAATTAAGACAGAAACAGAAAACCAAACACCACATATTCTCACTTGTAAGTGGGAACTAAACATAGAGCACACATGGACACAAAGAAGGGAACAATAGACACCAGACATACTATTCTAGGTGGTGAAAATTTTCTGCATCTTGGCTATGCAATTGTATTCATTTCTCAAAACTCATTACAATATGCACTTAAAAGTTGGTTTTTTAAAGTATAAATTCCTAAACCTGACCAAAACATATTTGCAATAAACATCTCCCCGTGCCTTGCCCCACAGACATGATATCATGCTGTTATAATAATAGTGTATATACAATTTTTTGAGAACTCTCTTCCCACTGGATATACTTTTTGAATAGCTTTCCCTGTTGCTGCACTATTGTGAGTCTGAAATGCTGCCATTCAGGATGGTCCTAGGCTCCACCCGCTGGAGGAAAAACAGCTAATCCAGTGAGATCCAACATGTGATAAGACCAGCATCCTGAGTGTGCTTTCTGGTGTTGTGAAAGTAACTGATGTGCCACCAGTCCCAAATTCACATTTTCGCCGTAAGATATCTGGGGGATGCAATCGTGTCAGAGAGCTGTGAGGCATCAGAAGTGAGGCTGGCATAGACCCCTCTGAGCAGGCCAGGGATGCGTCTCTCCTCCCCTTCTCTCAGACACTCCCTAGTGTGAAGCTGCTGACTCCATGCCATGTGTACTTTTAGAAGTGAAATGCCCCAGCCCACTTCACTCTCGGCACCTATGGATTGGAGTGAACACTGAAGTTAGCAGACATCTGAATAAGAATTGACAAGAAATCCAAACAGAAAAACCACATTCCCTTCCAGTCAAGTTAAAGCCATAATTTTAAATTAATCACTCACATTCTGTTCAGAGATTATTTTCTTGGTCTATGGCATAGTCTCCCAGGATATTTATAACTGGTAATAAAAATTATGAGGGCAATTAAAAATACCAAGACTCAGGTTCCCCACAATGAGCCAACCAAATGGACCATCATGCATCCCGAGGGCAACCATTAGGTGCTTTCTCTGACGGCCTCTTCCAGAGGGCTTCTCCAATTACAAAAGTCTATGACTTGTGATGACATAATCTCCTAAAACCCCAAATCTTCTGCAGATTCTTCCAACTCCAGTAACCCCCAAAGCAGGGCAAACTAAATGGATAGTCAATTTCCTTCCCAGGGGATAGAGTCAGAGTCATTAAAAGTGGTCTTTAATGTGAGAAATTGAAAAGGAGTTGGGAAAGTGATAATAACTTCTGCAAGACCAGAAGAATGTCATTACAGACATGGGAAAGCAGTAAGAACTCTGCTCACTTGGGGCAGTTATTGATTGATGGTGAAAACATAAAGGAGTTCATGGGGAATGAGACAAAGCTTTCATGCTATGAGGAGTGACTTCCAGGGTAATCAAGGTCCTGAAGGAGATGTACTCTAGGGCAGGTGAAGGAGTGGCCACTTCAAACAAAAAGAACAGCATAAAAGGGGCATAGAGGGGAGAAGCGGTACTACAGGTAGGGAGGAGGGGAGAGGGTCACACCTGGGACAGACCACAAACATTGGCAGAAAGAGGAGGGGGACAGAATAGAGCAGCCCAGAACCATGGGTGCCTTTCTTCCCATTGTGCAATTTTTTGTTTGTGTGTTTTTGTTTCTGAGACAGAGTCTCACTCTGTTGCCCAAGCTGGAGTGCAGTGGTGGTGCTATCTCGGCTCACTGCAACATCCATCCCTCAGGTGCAAGCAATTCTCCTGCTTCAGCCTCCCCTACTGAGTAGCTGAGATTACAGACGCCTGCCGCTGTGCCCCACTAATTTTTATATTTCTAGTAGAGATGGAGTTTCACCATCTTGGCCAGGCTAGTCTTGAACTCCTGACCTTGTGATTTCTCCACCTCGGTCTCCCAAAGTGCATTTTTTGATGCTGAGTAAAACTGAAAACTGTGCCCCAGTGGAAGGCTGTCATCCCACACACCTTACACTCATGAAGTTTGTCCCCAGTGCAAACTCTGATGCAGAACCTAGTTGATTTTTCAACTGGATGCTTTCCCACATTCCTGGCATTCATGAAATTCTCCCCCAGTGTGTGTTCTTTGCTGCACTGTGAAGCAAGAGACACAGGGAGCCTTTGCCAGCATTCCCCACGTTCACAGACATTTTCCCAGCACGGAATCTCTGGTGCTAAAGAAATACCCACCTCGGGCAGAAGGCCCTGCATGCTCTTTACATTCATAATGTTTCTCTCCCTGTAGACTCTGTGATGCTGAATCGGGACAAAGGAAGACTAAAACTACACCCACATCCTTTACATTTGTAGGGCTTCTCCTTAGTGTGAATGCACACTCATGCACGGAAAAGCATGTTCATATTCCTTACATTCAAAGGGTTTCTCCCCGGTGTGGGTTCTCTGATGCTAAATAAGTTTTTCATTATATCTGAAGGTTTTCCCAAAGTCCTTACATTTCTAGGGCTTCTCTCCATTATGAAGTTTCTGATGTTGGAGGAGGGATTTTCTTCCCTCCTTTCTTTCCTCCTTCCCAATGCTCGATGAAGACATTGTCCACATGCTTGATATGAGTAGGGCTTCTTCCCAGTGTGGATTTTCTGGCACCATGACCATTTCAACCCATATCTGAAGCCTTTCCCATCTTCTTTCCACTGTAGAGTTTCTCAAGAGCAGGGATCCTGTGGTGCTCGTAAAGATCTGAATGTCAGTTGAAATATTTGCTACATGTATGGAATATCTGCATCCTAGCAATGCTCTGAATTGCAATGAGGTGTGTGCTGACTTCACTTTTTCCCAATTTCTTGGCTATCTCCTCTTTAGAGGGTGGATGGTTATAATCTTGGGCTGTCAAAACCCTAAATTCTCTGCTTTTTAATTTGGTTTTCTTCCCCGTGTCGTACGGCTGCAGCTTCTCTGAACCGTCCCTGAGGTCAGAGTCCTGGGGAACATCAGCAATGCTGCCCTGGACATCTGACACTCAGGCTCCTCTGGAATGTTCAGCTTTGGACCTGGTTCCCACTCCCGATCTTGGTTTTTCCACCTATGCAGCATCTCTCAGAGCCTCTTCATCCATGGGTGCCCAAGGATCAATGCTGTGTTTGTTTGTTTGTTTGTTTGTTTGTTTGTTTTTGTCTTTAGTTTTCTAAAGTTCAAGTAAGATATGTTTTGCTTTGTAATTATTTAGGCTTATCTTGTTTGGAGAACACTCAGCTTTTTTAAAGTGTTGCTTTATGCTCTTTGTCAAATCAGAGACATTTTCAGCCTTTGTTTCTTTAGGCAGTTTCTCAGCCCCACGCTTTTAGTCCCCTCCTTCTGGGACTCTGATGGTACAAATGTTAGATCTGTGTTACTGTCTCACAATTTCCTCACTGTTGTTCATATTAGGTAATTATACTGCTATATCTTCAAGTTCACTGATTCTTTCTTTTATAGTCATCCTGTTAACAAGCATATCCAGTAAGTTTTAAATTTCAGTCATTGTATTTTTCAATTCTATCATTTCCTTTCAGTTCTCTTTCACAGTTTCTTTTCTTTGATTCCACTTCTACTTTTTAATTTGTTTCAGGAGTACTTGTAATCGCCTGATACAATCTTTAGCAAAAAGAGCAAAGCTGAAGCTGAAGACATCATACTACCAGACTTCGAAATACACTATTGGGGTTCAGAAAACAGTAGCCCAAAATGAAAGCCTCAGAATCAGCCTCAGAAACAAAAGTTTTTCTTTGACTTTTCATGCCTTCTTGTCTCTCAGTCCCATTCTTTCCTGAGGCTTGCCATAGAAACTAGAATTCCCATTCGCTAATGTAACTCATAGAAACCAGAATCTCTTTTCCCCAAAGACAGTCATAAAACCTAAACATAGTACTCTAATTTTTTCTCCACCTTGCTATGTAAAAGCTAGCCACAGAAAAAAGTTACCTGATCTACCTTGCTTGACATAGCAAGACCCCCCATTCCAGAGAGGATCCTGCTCTGCACCCAGAAGGAAGGAATGCCGCTCAGAGAGGCTAAGAGGAATACTGACAGACAGGCCTTGCTGGGTTTCCCCACTCCATCTATTAGCATTACATCATGTCCTTTTTGTCCACTCGTATTTCTTCAAAACTGTTCACACTTTGCTGAACCCAAGCACAGAAGTGGACAATTTCCCCTGAATCTTCATTCTGAAGAGGTCTTCATTCTGAAGGTCTCTGTTTACACATGTTAAATAAATGTGTATGCCTTTATTAATACACGTTTTGCAAGTTGATTTGTCAATGAATTTTCTGAGGGCATAGGGGGAAATCTCCTCTTGGTCCCTGCAATACTGCAAAGCTATCATGGCCAAAACAATATGACACCTGCACAAAAACAGACACATAGACCAACAGAGTAGAATAGAGAGCCCAGAAAGGAATCCACACATCTAGAGCTAACTGACTTTTAACAAAGGTGAGGAAAAGGCAGTCTCTTTAATAAACGCTGCTGAAAAAACTGGATATCCACATGCAAAAGAATGAAAAAAATCCACTCAAAATAGATTAAAGACTTAAATGTAAGACCCCGAACTATGAAAGAACTAGAAGAAAATACAGGGCAGATGTCCATGACGTTGGTATGGGCAAATAATTTTTGGCTAAGACCTCAAAGGCATAAGCAACAAAAGCAAAAATAGACAAATGGAATTACATCAAATTGAAACGCTTCTGAGGTAGGAGAATGGCGAGAACCTGGGAGGCAGAGTTTGCAGAGAGCCGAGATCGCGCCACTACACTCCAGCCTGGGCAACAGAGCAAGACTCTGTCTCAAAAAATAATAATAATAAAAATAATAAGAAAATAAAAAATAAAATAAAAAGCTTCTGGACATCAAAAAAATCAACAAAGTAAAGCGATTACTCACAAAATGAGAAAAAAATGTTTACAAACTATAGAAGTAGATTATTTCAATAGCCCTATCACTAAAAGGAAAATTGTGCTAAGAATTTTTAAGTGAAATATTAATTTAATCAAGGTTTGACTTTCAAAACGAAATCTCTAAACCCAGACAATTTCACTGGAAAATTATACCAAAGTTTTAAAGAATTATTAGCAATAATTCTACACAATCTATTCAGGAAAATTGAAGAAAGGAGGTTCATTTGCCAGTTCATTTTATGAAGCTAGTATTATCATGACGCCAAAACTAAACAAAGACAAAACAAAAAAAGGAAAAAAGAAGGCCAATATCCCTCATGAATATAGACACAAAATTCCTTAACAAAATACTAACAAATAGAATTCTGTAATACATAAAAAGAAGTATACACTATAACTACGTGGCGTTGACTCCAGGGTTGCAAAGCTAGTTCAATATTCAAAAATCAATCAACATAATGCACCATACCAACAGGCAAAAATGAAACAATTACATGGTCTTAGCAACCAAAGCAGAAGAAACATCTGAAAAAAAAAATTCAACACTTACTCATAGTGAAAGCTCAGAAAAATAAGAGTGCAGGTGAACTTCCTCATCTTGATAGGGACCAGCTGCAAGAAACCGATAGCTCACATTACACCTAATGACGACAGACTGGATGTGTCCTAACATCAGTAACTACATAAGAATGTCTCCTCTCATCACTCTTAGCCAACATAGTGCTAGGCATTCTCACTAGTGGAATGTAAAATATTTAGATGTAAATCTAACAAGACGTGTGTGTGACAGACATAACACATTTATGAGCTGGAAGACTCAACACAGTAAAGTTGTAAATTTAAATACTGATTTAATGAAATTGCTATTAAAATCTTAGCAGGAATTTTGTTGATATAGACAAGATTATACTGAAACTCATAAGGGAAGGCAAATAAATTAGAATAGCTAAAATAATTTTGAAAAAGAAATAAAATAGGGTAAACAAGTCCATTCAATATTAAGGATTATTATACAGCTATAGTAATCAGGACTATTTGATGCTGGTAGAAGGACAGACAGAGATTTAAAAAACAGAACAGAAATAAACATAAATAGGCCCAACTGATTTTTGACAAAGGTATATAAATAATTCAACAGAGCAAAGATAGCCTTTTCAACAAATGATGCTGGTGCAATTGAATATCAATAGGCAAAAGTAAATGAACAAATGTCAAGTTAGAGCTAAGTCTTATACTTTATATAAAAATTAATTAATGATGAATCACAGACTTATATGTAAAAAGTAAAACTATAACTTGTTTATAAAAATATTCAGAGAAAAATGGAGGCATCTTTGCTTCTATCTAGGAGGAGCTGAATGAGTGAATTACCTAAGCTTCCGTCTAGGAGGAGGTCTGTTAAACATCATGTAAATACAGGAGACGATACATCGATGATAACTGAAACCAATGAAACAGACAACAACGACAGAGAAAATCATGAAGCCAAAATCTGGTTATTTGAAAAGATCAGTAAGTTGGCACAATTCAAGTCAGATTAATTCAATAAAAAGGACAGAAAACAAATTTAAGAATAAAAAAGAGGATACACTCACAGTTCTACAGACAAAAAAAAATTAAGAGGATATAATTAATAAGATTTTGTCAATAAAACTGGCATTTTAATAAAATAGCAACTTCAGTGAGAGACATAAATTACCAAAATTGACTCCCAAAAATAGAGAATATGAATGACTCTGTATTAACGAAATTTAATTTGTAATTAAGATCTGTTCACAAAGAAAATTCCAGATCTCAATGGCTTACCTGATGAAATCAACCAAACACTTACCAAGAAGTGACAGCAATTTTACACAAATTTCTCCATAAAATGTAAGAGAAAAGAATATTTCCCAGCTTACTGCAAAAGCTCAATATTAGGCTGATACCAACACCAAACGGAGATATTGCAAGAAATGAAAGTTAGAGACTAGTAACTCTCATGAAAAAAGTCACAGTAAAATTCTTTGTGAAATATTAACCTATCCTCAGATACACCAGGCCCTGTGCCTGGTCTGTATTTTGAATGGGAGGATGGGGGACATGGAAAAAGAAAAAAATATCAGCAAATAGAATTTATCAAATTATGAAAAGATATTGCATCATGGCCTAAAGACATTTAACCAATGAATACAAGGTCTAACAATGAAATTCACCATTTTAAAAAATAAAGGAGAAAAGTCTTATGATCATTACTACAGATGTCTGTATGTGTGTAATATAACATAACACATACATAAATATATGATACATACATGCACATATACATGAGCAATGATTCTATCTATTTACAGATAGGTAAGTTTTTCATAGATACCCTTTATCAAGTTAAGGAAGTTTCTTTCTATTCCTAGTTAGCCAAGATTTTTTAAAATCATGGATATGTGCTAACTTTTATCCATATCTATCTATCTCTCTATCTATCTAACTACTTATCTATTCATCTATCCATCTATATATCCAAATATAGATGCCTTCCCCTAAAATTAGGGACAAAGGAGGCAGAATGTCTACTCACTGCTTCTATTAAATTGATGGCCCAGGACAATAAGGCAGGACCAATTAATAAACGTTATGTATATTAGAAAGGAAGAATCAAACTGTGTCTTTTAACAAATTACGTGTTCAAATTCATAGAGAATGCTAAGGTATCTGCAAAAAAAAAGCTACTAGAGTTAACATATGAGTTTAGCAAGGACACAGGATTCAAAGTCAATACACAAAACTCAAATAAATATATGCACATTTATTTACATAATATGGATATATTTGGAAAGAACAACTGCATTTGAAGTTTAAAAAATAGTGTCATTAAAAACACCATATAAAATAATGCAATTTATTTTGTAGAAATTAATTTAGCAAAATATGTGCATGGTATAAAGCCTGACTCAGAGCAATGAAAGAAACAAAGAGATATACCATGTTTATGCATTGGAAGGCTTGGTATTATTAAGATATCAGTCCTTTACTAATTGATCTGGAGATTCAAAACAATCCAAAGTAAAATTCCAGGAGTCTTTTTGTCGTTGTCGTTGCTGAGAAACTGACAATTTGATCCTAAAATTAGATGGAAATGTAAAGGATATAAAATAACCAAAATAATTTTGAAAAATTAGAACAAAGTTGCAGAGATTATATGTTTTCAAGACTGTTGGGAACATCAAATGGTACTACATTGTGAAAGACAATTTTTCTGTCTGTTATAAAGTTAAACATTTACTTACTACACAATCCAGAAACTTTATTCCTAGGTATTTACCCAAGAGAAATGAAAACATATATCCACATAAAATTTGCACACAAAAGTTCATAGCAGCTTTTTTCATCATGGCTCCAAACAGGGAACAACCTAAATGTTCAACAATAGGTCAATGGATAAACAAATTATGGTACAGTCACACAGTAGAATACTAGCAACTGTACAAAAAAAGTTATGCCAGAACTATTAAGGTCTGAATGTTTATGTTCCCCTAAAATTCATATGTTGAAATCCTAACTTCCAATGTGATGGTCTTAAAATATACAGTCTTTGGGAATGATTAGGTCACAAAGGTGGGGTCCTCCTGAATGGGACTAGTGCTCTTACAAAAGGAGCCCCCAGAGAGTTCCTTCATCCCTTCCACCCTATGGGACACAGAGAGACCGCACCATCTGTGAACCAGGAACCCAACTTTCACCTGATGCTGAATCAGCCAATGCCTTGTTCTTGGACTTCTAGCCTCTAGAACTGTGAGAAATAAGTTTCTGTTATTTATCAACCACCCAATTTTTAGTATTTGTGTTATAGCAGCTCAAATAGGTTAAAACAGGAACACACACAACATGAATAAATCTCAGAACATCCTGCTGACAAAGCAAAAAGCCAGACACAAATGTGTGCATGCTGTATAATTCCATTCTTGTTAAAACGGTAGGGGGAATGTAATCTACGGTGACAAGAAAGAGATCAGCAGTTGCCTGGTGATGGAATTCTGGGGGATTGACTGAGACGGGGGAAAGTGAACTTTTGGGGTCTTGGAGATATTTTTTATCCTCTTTGTTGTGGTAGCTACACAGGTTTATGAATTTATTAAAACTCATCCAAATGTACACTTAAATATACTTTATCATATGTCTATTATACATTATATGTAGATGCAGTAGCTTCTCAAAGTAAAGTGATATGGTTTGGCCATGTCTTCACCCAAATCTCATCTTGAATTGTAGCTCCCACAATTCCCATGTGTCATGGAAGGGACCCAGTGGGAGGTAATTGAAATATGGGAGCGGGTCTTTCCCATGCTATTCATGATAGTGAATAAGTCTCACAATATCTCATGGTTTCGTAAAGCGAAGTTCCCCTGCACAAGCTCTCTCTTGCCTGCTACCATGTAAGACATCCCTTGCTCTTCCACCATGATTGTGAGGCCTCCATAGTTATGTGGAACTGTGAGTCAATTAAACTTCTTTCCTTTATATATTGCCCAGTCTTGGGTATGTCTTCATTAGCAGTGTGAGAACAGACTATTACACAAAGGTTGAATTAGTGTGTGTGTGTGTGTGTGTGTGTGTGTGTGTGTGTGTGTGTGTAATGGAAATCAATATTAAGAAAGATGGGTCAATGATCCCAATACATGTCATGGGCACAAATTTTCACTTTCATCTTGTGTTTGTAGTAGGGTGCACATGGGGTAGATCCCTAACCAGGAGACTTTCCACACACCAAAGAACATCCTGACAATTTGCAAGTAGCCTCGGTGGAGGGCTCTTGAAGAAACAGGAGGGCAGGTGCTCTGGGCTGACAAAGGGAAGAGCCATTTGGGCAACACAGGGTGCCTGTGCACACAGGAGAGGCCTGTGACTGGGGCTTCTTGGAGAGGCCTCCTGCTCCCAATGCTGTAGGCAGCCTTGCTCCAGCCCCTGGCCTACCTCCTGCTGCCAAACAGAAAGTCTGTGGGGCCAGAGACGTCCACACTGTGCCTGTGCCCCCTCCCTCCTAGAACATACTCTGGGTTCTGAGACCCCAGACACCTTCCCCAGTATGGACTGTACCCCTGTGTTTGCCCTGGGTGGCACAGGAAGTGGGGATAGGGGCCTCCAGGAGCACTTGCCAGGCCCCAGTGGTACAGGATGGAGCTGTCTGGGGAGAGGAGGTCCAGAACTGGGGCTGTAGCCATTGGTTCTTTTCTCCTTTTTGGCAAATCTTACGGTGGGGCAGCGGGGAAGGTTCCTTTTCCCTGTTTGCTCTGTCCAGGTGTGTGTGTTTCAGAATAGAGAGGTCAATACATATTTTTAAATAAGTTAAAAATATGTAGCTAGACAGACAAGTAGAAGGGTGGATAAACTAAACAAGCAAAACTGCTCCAGACAGAAGAAAACACCAGAGGCGCATGGTGGCTGACTCTGGACAGAGCTCCCTGATCTGTATGATTCCTGTCTTCCCCATGACACTGGCCCGGCTCAACTCTCTCCCATCCCACATGAAGGGGTATGGTGTCTTTTGTGTCCTCACTAAGCAGACGGGTCCTGTCAGTCACAGTAGGATAAACCATAATTCAAGAGGAATATCTCACGGTTTCTCAGTCATGGCTTCTCAGCCTTTTGGCTAAGACCAAGGGTCAAGTGGCGTACCTGCTGGTGGGAGCTTGTTTCCTTCACAGGATGCAGTCCCACAGCTCACATGGGTGCCTGGGAAGATGTTTCAGAAGTGAGTCCAGCTGGGAGACTTTGTGACTAGATGGGAATAACTCACAGCAGCTGGTGATGACTGAGCTACATGCCCCAGAGATGCCAGCCATTGGACAGCAAGCAGAGCCTGGCTCTCCTGGGCACCTCATCATGAGAGCTTGGGCCTGACCTGTTGTGTAACAGGCACCGCTTTTTGTAGTGGCCACAGGTGCTGTTACCACGAAAAATACCAAATATTAGAAGAATATGAAATGTCTGGAATTAAATCGTCACAGAGGAGGAGGAGGAGGGGGAGAAGCAGGAGGAGGGAGAGAAGGAGGAGGAGGGAGACAGAGTAGGTGATTCCTTGCAGAACTTCCCCCTTTCTGCTCACTTTTGTAGTCATTGCTATTGCTGTGATCCCAGTAAGGCAGGATCCTGTAAAATATTGACAATCGTTTCAAATCTGCCCCAAGGAAAAAGAATGAATGACAATCTTACTGCTTTTAAACCAACTTGGTGTAGTTGAGTTGTGAGCCAACATGCTGACTTTGAAGGGGCCTCCAAAGCCTTTGACGAGCCTAAATGGAAAATCCATCTTCTTCCCAGGCGGAGGCTATGCCGCAGCAGTTCTGTATGTAAACCCAATTACCACGGAAAGAGCATTTCTGTGGCATATCGACTAAGAAAATGACCAGGCTGCTCTTTCTTGTGGTATTGGAACTGAGGACAAGGAAGTCTTCCCAGCCCAATCCTCTTAAGCCAGCAGAATGATTCTAGAGGAAGAGAAATCTAAGACTCGGCTCAAGTCAAACACAGTCAGACAGCAGGGACAGCCTGGGGTAGGACTCAAAGAAAGAATCAAGGGAAATATAGCATTTTCCACCACAAAAATATTTAGGACATAGCTATTTGATACCCTGACCGTTCTAAAGTTACTTTTTTCAGGAGCACATTAAAGCATGATATGTTATCAAATTGTTTTGTAAAGTGTGTTGCACTCTCAGAGAATATTGTAATATTAGCTTACAAATTGTCACAGAGCAGTCATCACACACTTAAATTTTTTTGCCTTTCTTCAAAGTTTTAGCCAGAGGAAGAACACTTCAAACATTTCACTTCACAGCCTTTCTTCTGTCTTTTCATTTGTTTGCATCTCAGCTTACTTAGAATGTTTAACATCTTGCAATCATAAACCTGAACATAACCAGTGTGTAAAAGTCTCAGCCACTGACCCAGTGTGGACAGCAAGTGAACTGTGCTGCCAGCTGTGGCCCCAGCCCATGCTGCCTTCATGCTTCAGGTACCTCCAGACCGCACTACAGTGCTGACAGTGTC